TGGGATTACAGGTGTGCGCCACCACACCCCAGCTAATTTTCGTATTTTAAAAGAGACGGGGTTTCACCTGCTTGGCCAGGCGGATCTCACTCCTAACCTCAAGTGATCTGCCCACCTCAGCCTTCCAAAGTGCTGGGATTACAGGCAGAGCCACCGCGCCTGGCCTAAACAGCACTATCTTGTGACCCAGCACTTCCACTCCTAGTGATACCCGAGAGAAATGCAAACACAGGGCCACGCAAGAAGCCACACACAAATCCTCACAACAGCAGCGCTCATCAAGGCCAAGGCGACAGGACCGACGCTGAAGGCTGCCGAGGATTCCACGGGACGCAGCACAAGAGCAAGCACGGCACGAGTGGGGAGACAGCAGGCAGGGGGCGGCTGCTGCGGGAGGGGCTGGGAGGGGAGTGACTGACAGGGGCACCAGGTTTCTTTTGGGGGCTGACGAATATGTTCAGGAATTATTTATTTATTTGCTTAGAGACAAAGAGAGATGGAGTCTCGCTCTGCGTCCCAGGCTGGAAGACAGTGGCACAAGGTTGGCTCACCGCAACCTCCGCCTCCCAGGTTCAAGTGATTCTCCTGCCTCGGCCTCCTGAGTCGCTGGGATTACAGGCATACGCCATCACGCCCGGCTAATTTTTGTATTTTTAGTAGAGATGGGGTTTAACCATGTTGGCCGGGCTGCTCTCGAACTCCTGACCTCAGGTGATCTGCCCGCCTCGGCCTCCCAACGTGCTGGAAATACACAGGTGTGAGCCACCGTCAGTGACCAGCCTCAGGTTCAGGAATTACATAGTGGTGATGATCACACAACTTTGTGAATACATTAAAAACCACTGAATTGTGCACTTTAAAAAAGCAAACGCTGGTCATCGTGTGATCTCAGATAACTGCACTCCAGCCTGGGCCACAGAACGAGACACCATCTCAAAAAAAAAAATGAAAAGAAAAAAAACAAGTGTTGTAATACGTGAATTGATGAATTGTACCTCTATTAGAAAGTAAACTTTAAAAAAAACCTACAGGCCTTCTAATTACAACACCCTAAACATTAAAAATGCGTAAGAATCAGCACTGTGGGAAAGGTTAAAAAAAAAGCCCAAGGAAAACAGTTCAGAGAGCAGTGTGCAACCAGGGGCTGAGCAGGTGGGAGGGGCCGCCCCTGCCTCCTCTTCTGGGGGAAACCTGTTTGCCAAGTGGTGATAATGTGCTTCCAGTGAAACTCTATCGCATAACTCAATAAAAGCAGGGACTTCCCAACTCAGAGCTGTCCCCTGGCCTCCAACCCGGGCCAGCTTCCTGCAGGGCTAAGGCCTTGGCGGGCTGTGGATGGGGGAGGTGGGAGGGGCTGCCCGCTACACCCCTCCTCTCCACCACACAGCGGCCTGCCAGGCGGCCAGCAGAGATCACCTCTCACTCATCAGGGACCTGCAGCAAGCCAGCACAGGGCATGGAGCATGATTCCTGCTGCGGTGATGGGCGGGGGAGTCGGGGGAGGGAGTGCAGGGGTGGGGGGTGGGCAGTCTAGAGGCGGAGGGGCTGACCCTGGGTGGGGTGCTCTCCAGATACCAATGCCTTTTACATGTTCAAGTGGCCACACTTTAAATGACAGCCATATACCCACATGAAAAGGGGTCTTGATTTTCCCTCGGTGCGTAAAGCCTACAACGTGCTATCTGGCCCACTGCAGGGAAAGCATGCTGAGCCTGATGTAAAGGAATGAGCGCGCTAGGGTTTGGGACACCCTTTCCAGACCACGGCCAGGTGGAGGAGGGGAGCGAGGGGCGGTCTACAGGGGGGCCCCGCCTGGGGCTCCGTGCTCCTCAGCTGCTGCTCTGGAATTCCAAGGGCACAGGGGCACGGCGCTGGGGGCTCACAGCCTGGGCTTGGGGGCTCTGCACCCACCCATGGGTGAAGTGCCAGATACAACACACCCTGGCAGACCCAGAGACCTCCAGGAAAGGAAGACGCTTTTTTCCTGCCTTTTTGCAAAAGGACCCACAAATTCCATAGCCAGAGGGGCCGGGGGCAGCTAAGGAGGCGTAAGGGACCAGAGCTCAGGGTGCTCTTCTAAGAGGGAAGCGGGAAGAAAGGCCGCACCGTGGTGACTTGGAAGAGTCCTGACCTGGGACAGGCCTATGCTCTCTGCATCCAAACTCCCTCCAGGAGAAACATCTACCAGGGAGACAGGAAACAAATCCTCTGGGCGACAGCAGCACGCAGCCACGGTACGACCCCTGGCGCAGTCGGCACCCTGAGAAGAGGCTAAGCCTTGGCTGCCTCCTCTGCAAAGCGGGGCGGGAAGGGCAGGTGCCCTGCAGGGCTGCAGGGGACCGAGCGGAGGCCTCCGAGCGGTCATCAGGGTTAAGCCGGGCGCCCACTCGACGCGCCGCAGGCCTCTTCCTCTGCCGCCCCTCCAAGCACGCACTGAGCCCTTGCTGAGGCCGGTGTCCCAGGACCTCTGGCAGGGAGAGCTGAACCCTCGTCCGCAGAGGTGAGTGACCAGAGAGGCGAGGGCACCAGGAGAGGCAGGGACCTGAGGCAGCTCCTGACCCAGCTCTCGGGGTCCACGCCAGCTCCCTAGGAGAAGGCCCCCACTTGCTCTCAGGGAAGCCCTGGGCTATTTAAGGAACCCATCAGAAGGCTCGGAATCTAACATCTTCTGAAACAGAGGGTCCCAGCCTCCCTGCCTGCCGCCTCTCAGGCTCTCCTGGCCTCCAAAGGTGCTCACCTGGCTCTGACCTCTGCTCCTGAGAAGAAGCACCGGCAGGGGTGCCTCCTCCTGGCCCCTGGCCCTTGAGAGATCCAATTAGCACAAATGATTGTTATTATTGTTGTTATTAGGGCCCGCCTACCCTCTGGAGGCCTGCCTGCCAATTATGCCCTTTCTTCTGCTGCCAGTCTCACCCCCTCCTCCCCCGAGCTCTGGGAAGCAACTGCTCCTGGCCTTCCGTGGCCCTCCCAGCCCAGACCCTTCTCCGGGCACCCACCTACTTTTTGCCCCACCCCAGCCCTCGCCCAGTCTCTTACTCCTTCCCCTCTACCTGCAGCCTGGAATGGCCAACCGCCTTTCCTTCCCCCACTCATCCTCTTACCACTCAGCTCTCAAACACCCTCTCTGACTTTCCACCAAATCCTGCGGCTCCTTCTCAGCCTGACTCCACGGCTGCTTTGCAGGGATTTGCAGACCGGCCATCCTCCCACCCCACCCCTCCAGCACGAGGGCTCCTGCCCGTTCCTCCCTCCCACCCGTCCACCCTCACTCTCTCCTCCCAACTCCCCTCTCTCGGGGCTTTGGCTCTGTTCCACCAGGATCCTGCCTCCCACACTGCCTCTTGGAAGTGCCCTCCCCATACCACATCAACTTCCTAAAGTCACTCAGTTCAAACAACCAATTAGAAGCTGGGCAAAGGATCTGAGGAGGCATTCCTCCAAAGAAAGGCAACTATGTGGCAGGCACACGGAAGGGTGTCCTCATGAGCTGTGTAGGAGAGACGGCTCCCTGGCCCAAATCCGCAGGGAGTCACCGCCTCACACCCACTGTGCCGGCGGAGGGAGAACAGAAACAGCAAGTGCGGGTGAGGACGCGGAGAAGCGGCCCCCACCGCCGGGGCAAGGGCACGGCAGGTGCACCGCTGCCGTGGGAAACTGCGGCTCCTCAAAAGGTGACGCCCAGAACTCCCATCAGAACCAGCAATTCCACTCCTAAGTGTGTTTTCTCCACCCAAGAGAAAACACCTCGATCCACACAAAAACCCGTGCACAAATCATCATAGAAGCACTAGGCATAACCACCAAAATGTAGAGACGACCCAGATGTCCATACGATGAACTGACGACGGTCCATCCACGACCAGCAGGAACGCAACGCAGCCATAACAGGCGTGGAGCTCTGCTGCAGCCGGGATGACCCTGGAGCCCGGCATGCTGGGTAAAAGGAGGCAGACGCAGAGCAGTGCAGGGTTCTATTTATACACCTGCCCACAAGAGGCACACCCTGGGAAAGAGAGCAGATCAGCGCTTCCCTGGGACCTGGACGCAGGGAGGGTCACAGAGAGGAAGGGAGGGCTGCTGAAGAGTATGGCGCTGCTTTTTGGTATGAAGAGCACGTTCTAAAATCAATCGGCTACGGTGATGGCTGCACAAATCACTGAATATGTTAAAAACCACTGAGCTGCATACTTTCTTTTTTGACACAGTCTCACTCTGTCGCCTAGGCTGGAGTGCAGCCGCACAATCTCAGCTCACTGCGACCTGCCCTCCCAGGTTCAAGCGATTCTCCTATCTCAGCCCCTGCCTCCCAGTAACGGGAACCACAGGTGCATGCCACCACACCCGGCTAATTTTTTTCTATTTTTCATACAGACGGGGTTTCATCATGTTGGCCAAGCTGGTCTCGAACTCCTGACCTCAGGTGATCCGCCTACCTCGGTCTCCCAAAGTGCTGGGATTACAGGCATGAGCCACCGTGCCCTGCCCTGAGCTGTATACTTTTTCGTTTGTTTTGAGATAGTCTGGCTCTCTGGCCCAGCCTGGAGTGCAATAGCGCGATCTAGGTTCACTGCAACCTCTGTGTCCTGGGTTCAAACAACTCACCTGCCTCAGCTCCTGAGTAGCTGGGACTACTTTTAAAGGGCAAATTGTACACTATGGGAATCACATCTTAATAAAACTGTTTGCATTAACGAAAAACAATTCAGTTCACCACCTCCTTGCCCAAACCACTGCCCTGCCCCTCATTCCAAATTTCAGGTTCCTCCCCAGGCACTGCAGGGCCCGATCTGGCTCAGGCATCTATGCAAACCCGATTCCAGCCCACCCAGACCTCCTGTCCCCTGCACGGCTCCTGATGCACCAACAGGCTTGCTCCTGGCCAGGTCCGCTGTTCCTCTCTAGGGACCCCCCCCCCTCACTGCTCCTCCACCTGCCTCGCTTGGTCTCACGTTTCAAGGGTCTGCTCAAATGCCAGCCTCTCCCTGAGGCCCATGCCTCACCTTTCCCATGGCAGGGCTGACCTCCTGGCCAGTCAGCATCTTCTGTCACCACGTCACGAGTGTCCCGTCTATTGATATGTCCTTCCTCAGGCTCTGCATCTGCTCCTGGGTGCAATGGTCCCTAAGGGTGGGTGCCAGGGTTGCCCAGCACCAGCTGCTGCCGAAGTCCCCATGGCTGCTTCCAGAACCAACACCGCCGCCCGGCCCCTCCCAGAGCCCCCTGCGGCTCGCCTCCCGCTGCGCTCCTGGCTGGAGACGCCCACAGCGTTACCCCTCCACTCTCCCACCAGCCCCTTCTCGCCTGCCCTTTCCCATGGCCACTTCATCCCTCACTCCTGGCAGGAAAACCTCATTCTTCTTCCCTCCTGCACCTCCGACTGGCTCCCCAGGCTAGGCCACATCCCAAATCAGGCCCTCAGCCCTGGGATGTCTCTGTGACACGGCTGAGATCCCAGGCCTGCCCTTCCTGAGGGTGCTGGGGAAAGTGCCAGGCACCCTCTCCTGGTACATTCTATAGTGACTGATCTGCGGAGACCCTGCCCCTCCTCTGAGCTGGTTTTGGCAGGTCACATTCTCCTGGAGCGCAGCCTGCACCTCCCTCGGGCAGGGCTCAGGGCGCAGGGCTCAGCCATCCCTGCTCTGGCTCTCCCTGCCCTTCCCTCTCGAGGGTGGCTCTGAGCGTCTATTTCGCTGCTTTCTTCTTTTCCAGCCGCCTCACACCCAGGCTCCTGCAGCCTCCCACCGGCACCACCCACACCTGCCCCATCAGAGCCGCCTTCCTGAGTGCATGGCAGAGCCACTCACAGCCCCAGAGGGCCAGACAGAGGGACTGCCAGACCCACTGGAGCCTTCATCTACCCTCAGGTGCACCCCCTGGGCAGACTCAGTGCCTGCAGACCTGCAGATCCCTGCGGATCTCAGGGCAGGCCCTTAAGTAATCGAGAAGTCTTTAAAAGACAGACAAAACAGTCTTCAGGCCAAAAGTACCCACACACCTACAAGGTACACTATGGACTGGTGACAAGGCAGTGGTGTCCATGTAGGTTCATCCACTGTAACAAACATACCGCCCTGGAGTGGGAGTTGATGGATCGGGGTGGGGGGGTGGGGAGGCTGTGGGGAGCGGGAGCGGGGGATATGGGAAGTCTGTGCACCTTCCTGTCCATTTAAAACAAATAAAGCCCCTAGTCACTACTCAGGTAGCTGAGGAGGCAGGATCACTGAAGCCCAGGCTTTCGAGACCAGCCTGGGCAACACAGCAAGACCCTATCACTTAAATATACATATACATATGAAATAAAAACCACCCTTTCTATGAAAACACACAAAAGCACACCCATGGAGCACCTTACATTCTGTCACCCCCCAGCGGGACCAATGGGGCAGGCTGGCCGTTTGACAGACAGGTGTGGACTCCCCACCAGGCCGTCTGCACAGCCCCTTCCTCCCACCTTGAGGGCATCTGCTCGGCCCCTCTGCCAAGGCTCAGCACCCACAGCAAGGAAGGTGCTTGGAAGGAAGCCCTCCAGACTCCTCCCTCCCCGCAGCTCCGTCCTCTCTTATCCAGCAACAGAAGATCACAAACATCAACCGCAGGTTAAATCCCACGTCCTGGGTGCAGAGTGCCCTAAGCATATAAGCTCTGATCCGGGCCCCACAGTGACGCCGTGAGAGACAGTGTGAGGCCATGAGGCCGGCACATTGACAAGAGGACAATCACCCTGGGCAGGCCAGGGTCGGATCCGGCCCCCCAGGAACCAGCCACATGACCTGGCAAGGTACTTGGGCTATGTGTCCCTCCTGATTGAGATGACATGTGTCAAGTGCTCCCCCAAAAGCCAGAGGCTGAGGCACCCAGTACGTACCACTTATCACTGTGGTCACCTGAGTCGCCGGACGCCAAAGGCACCTTGTCCCATTTGTTCCCTTTTAATGCCCACCACTATGGACGGTCCTGGGTGCCCAGGGGGATCCGCATCCTACTCGCCCCCACGGCACCTACAGCAGGTCCTCATCAGCCCCACAGGGCATCCAGCGGACCATGCACGTGAGGACCTTGCACACAGCAGCCTCAGGAATCCATGGTTCTGACTAGCCTGACCCTGGCTGAGACCAGGATCACTTCTGGTGCACCTGTGGGGCCCAGCATCACCCACTGCAAGGCCTGGCACTACTGAGGCCCCGAAACAGGGGGGCCAGACGGGATCCCCATTTAGCACAAAACAGACGTCTCTGTTCTGTGAGCCCAAAGGGAGAAGGCTCAGGCCAAGGCAGAGGCGGAACCAGGAACACTTCACTAATGAGGGCCCCGGGGTGCCAGGTCCCCTGCAGGAACAGACGGGCCCTGGGCCACCCCACATGGGCTCAGAGCTTGGGCTGGTTTCTTGGCAGCAGTAAAACAACAGCTCTGGGCTCCGGGACAGGTCCACTGGCACTGGTGGTGTGACTGCCCCAACTCCACACCCACCTTGGCTCTCCCTGATGCTGGGTGAGTGAGGTCTCCTTGGTGGCTGCATGGGTCTCAGCACTCAATTTCCGTGCCACTTCCGCTTCTCCCACCATGCCGGCTTCCCTAGAAGCAGCCAGCAGCCCTGTGTGTAGAGTCTTCACGGACAGCACACCCGCCCTGGGCAGAGAGTCCAGCGCGCCCAAGCCAACAACTAACCCCTACAGGACCTGGGGACAGCCTTTGCTCCCCCAGGCCCCGACCTGGAGCGGAAGGGGTAGGTCATGGCGCTCAAGGGCCTGCGCTCGGGAATCACCCGTAGACTCGGGTTCTGAAGCTGCTGGGGGCCTTGGGCTAGCAAGTGCAAGCCAGAGCCTCCGTTCCGAGCCTCCATCCCATTCCCCTTAAAAACGGGGGTGACCACCTCCATCCCAGGGCCTTAAGAATTTAGGACAGTGAGGACCAGGCACTAGGCCAGGTTCCGGAAAAGTGCTCACCAGCAAGTGTTGCTGAATCTGCAGCTGCTCATACTACAGAGGCCCCAGCACAGTCCTCACTAGGCTGGAGGCCTCAGGATGCCCCAGAGGACGCACGAACGAGGTCTGGAAAGGCCCGTGGGACGTGCCTGAGTATGGATATCCTGAGGGCTGTGTGTGCCTAGTAACGAAAGACCTCCCATGGCAGCCAAGCAGCAGCTGGTGGCCTTGAGCTGTGACTCCTGCCATTCCCTGCCCAAAGCTCACTGTCATCCTCCCTTAAGTACCAGCCTTCTGGAAGCCAATCCCTCCTTTCTATCCTTCAATACACATGCCCTCCCCTGCACCACTCACCCCTCCCTCTATGCTGAGCTCCCAGGACCCCTTTGGCAAGTCTCCCCCACCCCTCTGCTTGGTGTGAGTGGTCTGGGCTGTGCTGGGACAGGGACTGTACGATTCCTGCCAGGCTGCCTAGCACTGAGCACCACTGTACCTTGCGCTTGCTTTGGGGTGGGGGGGCTTGAGACTCTGCTCTTCACCCAGGCTGGGCCAGGAACCTCGTCTGAGCCCTCACAGGACAGTGTTGTGCCAAGACCACGTGTAACCCCATGCCCAGCATGGGGCCTGGCCAGTGCGGCAGCCTGGATCGATTACGTTTATTCAGGGAATGGTGGCCTTGCTCTCCTTTTTTAAGCAACTGAAGGGAAATTAAACCTGGGAGAAGGGAAGTGACATGTCCAAGGTCACAGAAGTGGAAGAGCCAGCGCCGAGGCCAGGGCCCAGGAACGCCTGACTTCAGAGCCCTTTCCAACTACTCACCCGCATCTGCGAGGTCTGCTCTGGCTCTAAAATCAAAGCATTAAGAACCTTTCTGCTGAGGTCAATACTATTATTACCACCCTCAGTCGGTCCCGGTGGGCAGACACTCGTCCAAGGCCACAGAGGTGAGTGGTGGGGCTGGGACTTGAACCCAGGCCTGCCTGGTCCCAGAGCTCTTGGGGAACACGACCCAGTGCCTGCACACACTCTGGCAATGAGCCAGGGAGGGGCCAGGCAGGGTGATGAACCCTTTCCATCCCTCAGCTCTGCTGAAGCCTGGATGGATGGATAAGAAGTGAGATAAGCAAGCAGGAATCTGATCTGTATGTTGTCTGGGGCCCAGGCAGGAGGACCACAGGGGAACTGCGCAGAGGCAGGCAGGTGAATGTCCTCTGTGTTTAGCCAAAGAGGCTTACAGTCTTACAGAGGAGCTAAGCCAGGATCAACGCAACTGTGCTTCCCGGTGCCGGGGCCAATCAGATCCCCAAATGGGTCGTAAGCACTGCCCAACATGGTGCCTGGAACCAGGAAACCGCAAAAAGCAGACCAAGTCATTCCTTCTTCCCTAAAGCCCTGCCCATCCCCCGGACCCTGCTGAAGTCAACATGCCTTCCCTGGCTCACACAGCCCCCGGACCTCTCTATCGGGGGTCTGGTGACCTGGGGTGGCGACTCTGCGGCTCAGATCTCAGTCTCTGCCCGCAAACCCGACTCCAGGCCCTTGTGACCTCCCTGTACCCTGTCTCCAGTGCCAGCCACAGGGCCTGGCTGTGACTGAAAAAGCTACTGCAGGCGTCCCCAAACTTTTTACACAGGGGGCCAGTTCACTGTCCCTCAGACCGCTGGAGGGCCGCCACATACTGTGCTCCTCTCACTGACCACCACTGAAAGAGGTGCCCCTTCCTGAAGTGCGGCGGGCGGCCGCACGCGGCCCGCGGGCCGTAGTTTGGGGACGCCTGAGCTACTGCCTCCACTCACTCCTGCCTTCTGTGTCTGTGGGTCACTTTTCTGTCCGACTCTGCAGGTCCCGGGGGTACTCTTCCACATGAATTGGGGTCATCTCCCTTAAGTGGGAGTCCAGGTGGGGTGTCAGAGAGGTGGGGCTCCACTCTGATCCCCTCGACGCCGGCGAGGGAGGCCTCAGGAATCGCCAACTGGTCCAGTCCCCGCCTTCGCCCTGCCCCATGGGCCACGCGGTGGCTGACCTTGGCCCAGTCACTTGCCCCCCTGGGGACGCGCTTCCTGCCCGCCTGCCGCCCAAGGGCGAATGAATGGGCCTCCCGCCGGCCGGAATCCCCGTAATTACCCGCCTGATCAAAGGCCACGCGCAGCCCGCCCGGGGCAGCAACGGGACCCGGGCTGACTCGAAAAGAGGAAGGAAGGGCTGGTGGGGGGGCCGCGCGGTATCCGGCCAGACCAGCCCGGCCCGCGCGGCCCCTTCCCCCACCCGGGCCTTAACTTCCCTCAGGAGTCGCCGCCACTTCCGGCCACGACCGGCGGAGTTGGGACGTGGGGGGGACGGACAGCGCCCCCGACCCCGAGGGCCGCAGGAAAGGGACCCCCACCAAGGCCCCCGGCCCCAGCCCGCGCACGCGCGCCCCCCCTCCAGCCCCGCTCGCCGCCCGCGGGCCGCCCGGGCACGCGTCCCTTCCCGACGCCGTCGGCGCGCACGCGCACTCCCCCCGCCCGCGTCACCCCGGCCGCGCGCCCACTCACGCCCCCCCAGCAGCGCGCACGCGCGCCCGCCGCCCAGTCGCGCTCGCCCTCCCGATTCCCCACCCACCCCCAGACCAAGCCCAGCTTCCCGAAGCGCGGGCCCACCCGGCCCCCAGTGCACAGCCCTCGCCCACGCTCCTCACCTCCTCGGTCCCGGGGCCGCCGCGCCTCACTCCTCTTCCTCTCTCCTGCCTCGCGGATGGTGGCAGCGGCGGCAGCGGCGACTCAGACCCTGGGGTCAGGGGGACGGGCGCCCAGGCCGGAAGTGACCTTCCCGGCCGCTTCCGCCCGCGCCGCTTCCCCCCTTCCCCTCGGTGCCCTCCCCCCGGGCCGCCACCCTGTCCTCGCCGCTCTAGGAAGGCGAGCCCGCTACCCCGGCCGCTGCCCCCAGCTCTATGGTGCCCGGCGGGCGCCTGAGGGAGCCACTTCCGGACGCGTCTAGGACGCAAGTCCTCCGTCCATGCTCTATGGCGCCCCGCGTCGAGGGGCTTCGGCCCCGCCCCCTTCCTGGACAGGAGGTGCGGGCTGGGCCCGTTAGGCGGAGACTTCCGGGTGTCGAGGGCGGCGCCCCCCCGCCCCCCAAACCTGGGCTCCTCGCGCCTGCGCGGCCGGCTCCCCGCGCCTGCCATCGGGAGAGTGTGAAGTGGCGGAGAGGGACGCTCGTGCCACCCCGGGTCCTCCTGCCGTCTCTATCATGGTAACCCCTTCTATGCCGCCGCTCCTCCCGGTGGCCCGAGTCCACGTGCCCAAAGGGCTCCGTCCCCTGCGACCCCGGATTCCTTAGTTACCGGATGGAGAGTGCTGCGCTTCAGGTGCCATAGCCTCAGTTTCCTCCTTTCTGAAGTAATAAAAATACACTGTGCGCCTCCGAGTGCTTCACGTGCGCTGGGTCCTCATCCTAACTAGGGCCTCGGGATCGATCCTGTCCCCATTTTGCAGAAGAGGAGTCAGATCACCTACCGAAAGTCACACTCCCGGAATACCAGAGCCCGGGCCCGAACCCGTGGGGCTTGGCTCCAAATTCGTGTATTTAACCCTTGGCTGTACACACTGGCATAGCAGCTGGGAATCCACCACCTCCCCGTGTTAGGTAGCCACCTGGTAAGCACGCACGGGATGTCAGCCGTTACTGTTAGTATTCTTTCAAAAAACACACATTTTAAAATCACTGTCCAAACGGTGGTGTCCTTGCAGGCTGGTCCTTCTGGTCCCTCCTCTGTTCTGTACTTGGCCGACTCTCACCTAAGTGAGAGTGGCAGATGACTTATCGTTTATAATTGTTTTATTATCATCCTTACTGGGAGTCAGAAATACCGGAAGCTACAGTGGACTTGTGGAATAAAACCTTTCTCAGCCTCAATTTCTCATCTGCGAAATGGGAAAAAGTCAGATCACATGTGAGGTAGTACGTGTAAAAGCTGCTAAGTTCATTATTGGCCTTGTAGTAAACTCACACAAATGTTAGTGGTCCTTATTACTTATTCGTGTTATTTAAAGTCTACTGCTGTGGCCACTGTGTACCCTCAAATCTCAGTCAGCATCAGTCATAAGATGTGCATTATTGATTTAATAGCATCTTTCCGTGGGGGGGGGGGGGCGACAGTGCTGTATTAAATTTGTGTGTCAATAGGAAGATGTCTGCGTCCCTAGTTGAAGTATCACAAAGGTAAAATTTTAAATATACCTTAGAACATAAGGAAGTGTGGCCAGGCATGGTGGCTCACGCCTGTAATCTCAGCATTTTGGGAGGCTGAGGCAGATGGATCACTTGAGGTCAGGCATTCGAGACCAGCCTGACCAACATGGTGAAACCCAGTCACTACTAAAAATACAAAAATTAGCTGGGTGTGGTGGCACTCACCTGTATCACAGCCACTCGGGAGACTGAGGCAGTAGAATCACTTGAACCCAGGAGGCAGAGGTTACAGTGAGCTGAGATCACCCCACTGCATTGCAGCCTGGGCAACAGAATGAGACTCTGTCTCAGAAAAAGAAAAAAAAAAAAAACAGAGGGAAGTGCTGTTACAATAGAAACTAATTATTAAGGGTATGAACTGTACATGAGGAAACCTGTGTGCAGGAAAAGCCGCATGCTTCTGCTCCTCTGAATCAGATCATTCAGTGGGTGTCCTGCAATGACCTGGTCGTTGGGAGGGACAGCCTCCTCCCTCTCCCAGCTCATGCCCCTTCTTCACTGGTCAAACTGACAGCTTAACTTCGAGATCTGGAACAGATACACTGGCACCCCAGATGGAAGCCAACACTGAGAATGGAGGAGAAACAAGCTAGAAGGAGCCAGCTAGACACTGCAGGGCTCCATGAAAGAGGCTCCCTGCCAGCTGAGACCTTACGAGAGAGAAATCACGTTCAGACTCACTGAAACCATTGGTAATTCTGGGTCTCTCTCTTAAGACAACCAAACCGATACCGGCACGTTTCTCAAACATGGAATGGGTTGCAGCAGACATGGCCAGTTCACAGTTAACATCTGTCCTTCCCTTCCACAGTACCAAATCCTTCCCGGGATGCTGCTTCCCATCCATGGCTTAGATTTTCCACTCCTCTTGGCATCTAAGCATGGCCTTGAGACTGGTTCTCACCAAGGGGACGGGATGGAAGCAATACAGGCCTCTTCCAAGCCAAGGCTCTTAAGAAACATGTATGCCCAGGCTGGGCACAGTGGCTCACACCTGTAGTCCCAGCACTTTGGGAGGCTGAGGCGGGAGGATCATGAGGTCAGGAGTTTGAGACCAGCCTCGCCATCATGGTAAAACCCTGTCTTTACTACTATTTTGTAAAAATACAAAAATTAGCAGGGCACAGTGGCAGGCACCTGTAATACCTGCTACTCAGGAGGCTGAGGCAGGAGAATCACTTGAACCCAGGAGGTGGAGGCTGCAGTGAGCCAAGATGAGACCTCTGCACTCCAGCCTGTGTGACAGAGCCAGACTGTCTCAAGAAAATAAAATAAAAATAAATCAGTGCAATGGAATATTATTTCGCCTTAAAAAGAAAGACAATTCTGACACATGCTACAACATGGATAAACCTTAAGGACAGGATGGTAAGAGAAATAAGCCAGTCACACAGGACAAATACTCTATGATTCTACTCATATGAGGTACCTAGAGGAGTCACATTCATAGAGACAGAAAGTAGAATGGGGGTTGCCAGAGGCTAAGGGGAAGGGAATGGGGAGTTAGTGACTTTTATTGGAGACAGAGTTTCCGTTTTGCAAGATGAAAAGAGTTCTGGAAATGGATGGGGGTGGTGGGTGCACAAGATGTCGATAGGTTTAACAGTACTGAACTGCACAGCTAAAAATAGTTGAGACATGGCCAGGTGCGGTGGCTCACGCCTGTAATCCCAGCACTTTGGGAGGCCGAGGCAGGTGGATCACCTGAGGTCAGGAGGTTGAGACCAGTCTGGCCAAGATGGTGAAACCCTGTTTCTACTAAAAATACAAAAATCAGCTGGACATAGTGTTGCATGCCTGTAGTCCCAGCTACATGGGGAGGCTGAGGCAGGAGAATCGCTTGAACCTAGTAGGCGGAGGTCGCTGTGAGCCAAGATCACACCACTGCACTCCAGCCTGGGCGACAAGAGTGAAACTCCATCCCCCCACCAAGAAAAAAAATAGTTAAGACATTTAATTTTGTGTTATATATATTTACATATCTTTCTACAATTTAAAATGTTTTTTTTTTTCTTTTTTTTTGAGACGGAGTTTCGCTCTTGGTACCCAGGCTGGAGTGCAATGGCGCGATCTCGGCTCACCGCAACCTCCGCCTCCTGGGTTCAGGCAATTCTCCTGCCTCAGCCTCCTGAGTAGCTGGGATTACAGGCACGCGCCACCATGCCCAGCTAATTTTTTGTATTTTTAGTAGAGATGGGGTTTCACCATGTTAACCACGTTGGTCTCGATCTCTTGACCTCGTGATCCACCCGCCTCGGCCTCCCAAAGTGCTGGGATTACAGGCTTGAGCCACCGCGCCCGGCCTAAAATGTTTTTAAAGAAAAAAGAAGTACCCCTCTAATGTGACGTTCCATTACCATGTGTGGATTTATTACAGTAGCTTCACCCTTCCCTATTACAGAGTTTTTAGTTGCTAGGTAGTAAAAACGGCAAAGCTCCCTTTCAGGGATGCATCAGCATCTAGATGGAATTTAAATCCTTGAGATCGAATAAAATTGGGTGGAGGGGGTGCCAGTAAGTCCGGAGGGAATCCAGCGTGGCTACAGCAGCACCATCCCACCCAACTTGGCCATCAGTGGCTCTCTCTGGATCCTTCTCTCTGGAGAGTCCACTGCTCTGGCACAGATGCCGAGATGCGAGAGGCTGGAAAGCTTATGGCAGCCTTGTTTCGCACCATGGGGAGAAAGCCAGTCTGCAGGAGGAGACAATGAAGCCTCACAGAGAGGTGAGAGCTGGAGAGAAACACTGGGCCCAGGCCGTAGGCTCGGCTGCTTCCTCTCTGCCTGAGCTTCCTGAGGGCTGGGTGTTCCACTCTTCCTTCCCTTGAGCGAGTGAGTCTCTCTAGACGTCTTCCAGGAAAGCCCCGTTTTGGATTCTGCATTGATTGAGTGCTGGGTGAGGGGAATAGCCATGTAGCTCTGTTGTCCTCTAGAAGGTCTGAGGTCCCTGGTCGGGGGCATGGGCTGCAGCTCCCACTGGGGAGCCCGTTAGAGCTTCCCTCACGGTTTCCTCCTGAGGGTGTGGCCCTAGGTCCAGTGACAGGAACAGCTGCAGCTGGCAGATTGGAGAGGGAGAGTTTGCAGCTGTTGAAATACAATTACAGAGAAACACACACAATCACACTTTGCAGACGGTCCTCCTTACCATGACCATCGACAGCCACTTCCTCAGTTTTCGTCAGGTCCTAGACATTCTGCTGGGTGCTTTGCTTAGAGGAACATGTCAACCTTTATCTCTACTCCCAGACATAGCTGGACCCTGGGAGGCGGCATTGGCAGCATCCACAGACCCGTGAGAAATGCAGAATCCCAGGCCCTGCCCCAAACCTACAGAGTGAGGATCTGCATTTTAACCCAGTGCTCAAGGGATTCTTAGGCATGGCAGACTCCAGGATGCCCAGTTAAATGTGAACTCCAGACCAAATGAGAACTTTTTTAGTGTAAAAATGCACCAAGACTGGCTGGGCGCTGTGGCTCACACCTGTTATCCCAGCACTCTGGGAGGCTAAGGAGGGTGGATCACCTAAGGTCAGGAGTTTGAGACCAGCCTGAACAACATGGCAAAACCCTGTCTCTACTAAAAAATACAAAAATGAGCCAGGCATGGTGGTGCATGCCTGTAATCCCAGCTACTCGGAAGCCTGAGGCAGGAGAATCACTTGAACCAGGAGGCGGAGGTGGCAATGAGCTGAGATTGCACCACTGCACTCCAGCCTGGGCGACAGAGTGAGACTCCGTCCGAGAGGAAGAAAAGAAAAAAAGAAGAAAATACAGGGCATCATCCTCATTATTTGTGGATTCCGTAATTTTGAATCTTCAACTCGCTAACATTTATTTGTAGCCTCACACGAATACTCTCAGTGTTTCTGTGGTTTTTCTGGTCACTCACAGACACGCCTAGAGCAGGACACCAGAAAGAGGGCAAACAGCGGCTAGATGACAGCGGCTAGATGGAACAGGGCAGCCCCTGCCTTCTCCCTTCAGCTCTCTTCCTGCAAACAAGCTCCTTCTCAGCCTGTTCAGTGCCACCGTTTCCAGGTTTTTATGCTTTCTCTTGGTGGCTTTGCTGTTTAAATGCCTCCGGGTGTAGCGCTGAAGTGCTAGCTAGTGTTCCTGTCCATAAGACTGTGATGTGCAGGACCTAAATGGGATTGGAGACTGTTCTTCTAAGTCAGGCGTCCCCAGACTGCAGCCCCCTGAGGCCATTTATCCGGCCCCCCGCCGCACTTCAGGAAGGGGCACCTCTTTCATTGGTGGTCAGTGAGAGGAGCACAGTATGTGGCGGCCCTCCAACGGTCTGAGGGACAGTGCACTGGCCCCCTGTGTAAAAAGTTTGGGGACGCCTGTTCTAGGTGAACTAACTCAGGAATGGAGAGCCAACGTCAGATGCTCTCTCATGAGTGGGAGCTAAACTATGGGCATAAGAATGACACAGTGGCTGGGCACGGTGGCTCACACCTGTCATCCCAGCACTCTGGGAGGCCGAGGCGGGCGGATCACCTGAGGTCAAGAGTTCAAGACCAGCCTGGCCAACATGGTGAAACCCTGTCTCTACTAAAAATACAAAAATTAGCCAGGTGTGGTGGCCCGTGCCTGTAATCCCAGCTACTCGGGAGGCTGAGGCAGGAGAATCATTTGAACCCAGGAGGCTGAGGTGTGGTGAGCCGAGATCGCGCCACTGCACTCCAGCCTAAGGGACAGAGAGGGGACTGCACCTCAAAAAAAAGAAAGAAAAAAAAGGCTGGATGCGGTGGTTGACGCCTGTAGTCCCAGCACTTTGGGGGACCAAGGTGGGTGGATCATGAGGTCAGGAGTTCGAGATCAGCCTGACCAACATGGTGAATCCTGTCTCTACTAAAAATACAAAAAAGTAGCTGGGCATGGTGGCACATGCGTGTATTCCCAGCTACTCAGGAGGCTGAGGCAGGATAATCTCTAGAACCTGGAAGGCAAAGGTTGCAGTGAGCTGAGATTGCATGACTACACTCCAGCCTGTGTAACAGAGAAAGACTCCATCTCAAAAAAAAAAAAAAACCCCAAAACCAAAAAAAACAATATATCAACAAAGGCGTGTTTAAATAAAAACATCCATAAAATAAGGCTTGTGTTGATGGACATGTGACAAGAGGCCCACAGGAACCTTGCACTGTGTTTAACTAGGAGCATGGGTATCAGCTGTTCATGGTGACTTTACAGAACTACCAGGAACACCAAGAATTGACTTTAAGTGTATCTTGTTCCATATTTAACAAAATGTAAGCAATAACTGCAAGGATGAATGTATGCCCCGGTTCTCAGAAAAACTGAAACATGAGTCAGGTGTGGATTTATAGAATTTCCCATGTGACTTCCACAGCACAGTTATAAAGAGGGGGCGTTTGCACTCTGTGGGTCTCACCAGTGGATGTTTTTACAGCTGTGGTAACTTCATCCCTTGCAGCAATCAGATGATGACTCCCTGTTTTAGGTTTTCTGTTTTTTTTTTTTTTTTCTGAGACAGAGTCTCACTCTGTCACCCAGGTTGGAGTGCAGTGGTGGGATCTTGGCTCACTGCAACCTCCGCCTCCCCGGTTCAAGCGATTCTCATGCCTAAGCCTCCTGAGTAGCTGCCATTACAGGTGTATGCCACCACGCCCCGCTAATTTTGGTATTTTTAGTATAGACGGGGTTTCGCCACGTTGGCCAGGATGGTCTCAAGCTCCTGACCTCAGGTGATCCTCCTGCCTCGGGCTCCCAAAGTGCTGGGATTACAGGCATTAGCCACCGAGACTGGTCGGGTGGTAACTCTCTGGGATAATGTGCCATATACTCTCTTACTCCGTTAGGGGAGAAACCTCACAGGTGGCCGGGTGCAGTGGCTCACATCTGTAATCCCAGCACTTTGGGAGGCTGAGGTGAGTGAATCACAAGGTCAAGAGATTGAGACCATCCTGGCCAACATGGTGAAACCCCATCTATACTAAAACTATAAAAATCAGCCAGGTGTGGTGTTGTGCACCTGTAGTCCCAGCTACTTGGGAGGCTGAGGCAGGAGAATCGCTTGAACCCAGGAGGCTGAGGCTGCAGTGAGCTGAGATTGCATCACCGCAGCCTGGGTGACAAAGCAACAGGCTACCTCAAAAACAAACAAAGGCCGGGCGCGGTGGCTCAAGCCTGTAATCCCAGCACTTTGGGAGGCCGAGGCGGGTGGATCACGAGGTCAAGAGATCAAGACCATCCTGGTCAACATGGTGAAACCCTGTCTCTACTAAAAATACAAAAACATTAGCTGGGCATGGTGGCGCGTGCCTGTAATCCCAGCTACTCAGGAGGCTGAGGCAGAAGAACTGCCTGAACCCGGGAGGTGGAGGTTGCGGTGAGCCGAGATCGCGCCATTGCACTCCAGCCTGGGTAACAAGAGCGAAACTCTGTCTCAAAAACAAACAAACAAACAAAGAAACAAACCTCACAGGTGTGGCCAGTGCTAAGTGAGGTGCATGAAGCCACTGATCGCAGTGCTCGGACATGTAGGAATCACACATAACCATGAGTCATTATGACCACCATGGTGATTGTCTAAAGGGGAACAGAGAAGTGGCTCAGTCCGGTTTCAAGGGAGGAAACAGGCAAACAGACCCCGCCTCAGGTATTTTATCTACCAAGGATTTGATACAGGAATTAAGTGTTCACAGAATTGTTGAATGGGCTGAACCTCCTGAGATAACTCATAGAATCACATGGAACCATCCCAGCCAGGAGCCGCCGCCTTTGAAGACTCACCTGTAGCTCTGAGTTCCAGAACATACCCCCGAAGATGTGATCCAGGGGCCAAAAGTGGCCACGCTCCAAAGCTGCAACCTCTGCTTCCCAGGTTCAAGCGATTAAATCATGCCTCAGCCTCCTGAGTAGCTGGAATTATAGGTGCCCGCCACCACGCCCAGCTAATTTTTGTATGTTTAGTAGAGACGGGGTTTTGCAACATTGGCCAAGCTGGTCTTGAACTCCTGACCTTGTGATCCACTCCCCTCGGCCTCCCAAGGTGCTGGGATTACAGGCGTGAGCCACCGAGCCCTGCTGCCCTGCTTCTTAAGCCTTCAGAAGAACTGCTCCCCATTTCCCCCAACACCTGGTAGAGCCCTCTAGCACAAGCCCTAATGCTCTGAAAGTCCTCGTCTGCCTCCTTGTACAGTGATTCCCCTGGATTGCGTCCTCCCTTGCTGAACCCAGATAAATAAACCTCCCCGACTGCTAGAGACCCTTAAACAGCTTTCCGCATCTTACCCGAGCGCACTTAATTAGCAAAGCCCAATTCAGTCCAGAACTCTAGCTCTCAGGAGGTCTGGGAAAGGCCGCTGCCATCTCCAACCGGAGAGATTTCTCTCCAGAGAGTAAAGGGGTGGAAGTCGGGGCGAGACGGAAGCCCGCAGTATCAACCTCTGAGAAGCCGTTTTCACTCTGGCCAGACGTTGCGAGATACAGCTGGGAAGAATTTCCAGGGAATTCTCTGCTTTGGCAGTGAGGGTAGTCTGCTTGACTCCCTCCTCCTGTAAGCACTGCTCACTCTCTGAACATCTAAGGAAGAGGCTAGATCTGGCCGGTGGAAAACCTGCTGCCTGCACTGGGCGGGGACTTCAGAATACCCTTCTTTTTTTTTTTTTTTTCTGGACAGTCTTGCTCTATTACTCAGGCTGGAGTGCTGTGGTGCAATCTCGGCTCACTGCAACCTCCGCCTCCCGGGTTCAAGCGATTCTCCTGCCTCAGCCTCTGGACTAGCTGGAATCACAGGTGTCTGCCACCATGCCCGGCTAATTTCTGTATTTTTATTAGAGGCAGGGTTTCATCATGTTGGCCAGGCTGATCGCAAACTCCTGACCTCTGGTGATCCACCCACTTGTGCCTCCCAAAGTTCTGGGATTACAGCTGTGAGCCACCACGTCTAGCCAGAATGCCCTCCTTGAGCTTCAGTTTCCTCCTCTGTGAGAGGGGCTCAGGACACCTGCTCCTGGCCTTAAAACCCGGGTCTCTTGCTGGGTCACCTAGGAAAGTACACTTGCCCCTCTGAGCCTCGATTATCCCTGCCATAAAATGGGGTGATTCTCTGATCACGGGGTGAGCATGGGGGGAAGTCAGACCCATCATTAAGCATGAATTGCTTCATTAATTTCGTTAATTGCATTATTCTTTTTCAAACGTTTCCTGGGGCCTTGGGGAGCCAAAGATGACTCAGGTTGAGATTCAGCCCGCTGGGAGCCTGCACTGCAAGACACAGACTGACATCCATATGTATGTGGGCCATCCCCGCTTCTGCTGGCTCTTCCCCTCACAGGCTCACTCACTAGTCCATCATCCACTCACCCATAAACACAACCTGAGCCTCCAGCTTTGAACCACACCCTATCCCTGCCCTGGGGGATCATACTGCTTCAAAGCACCATACAGAGAGAAAAACCTTAATTATTATGTGGGGCAGTAATTATAGCAGAGCCATAAAGGAGCCGCGAAGCAGGAAGGTAAGAGCTAAATTTGCTGCCAAAGGAATTCTCGCCCTCAGGCCTGGGAAGTAGGGTAAGAACCACGTTCCTTCACTCTTATTGACTCATTTCCAGGCAGGCCCCAAGCCAGGAGCTGGGTACAACAGGCAAGAAGGGCTGGTCTCTATCGCTGGCTTGCTCAGCATGAGGTGGGCAGAGCAGTCACCCAAAAATTGTTGGTGTTTTGTTGTTTCGAGACAAAGCCTCACACTGTTGCCTGGGCTGGAGTGCAGTGATGCCATCTCAACTCACTGCAACCTCTGCCTTCTGGGTTCAAGTGACTCTCCTGCCTCAGCCTCCTGAGTAGCTGGGATTACAGGCGCATGCCACCATGCCCGGCTAATTTTTTTGTATTTTAGTAGAGACTGGGTTTCACTATGTTGGCCAGACTGGTCTCGAACTCCTGGCCTCGTGATGGGCCCGCCTCAGCCTCCCAAAGTGCTGGGATTACAGGAGTGACCCACCATACCCAGCCTGCACTGGAGGGTTTGAAGCAGAAAGTTACATGACTCTATTGAAGTTTCAACAAGATCCCGCTGAGGCCGGGCGTGATGGCTCATGCCTCTCATCCCAGCACTTTGGGAGGCTGAGGCAGGTGGATCACCTGAGGTCAGGAGTTCGAGATCAGCCTGGCCAACATGGTGAAAACCCATCTCTACTAAAAATACACACACACAAAAATTAGCTGGGCGTGCTGGTGCGCACCTGTAATCCCAATTACTTGGGAGGCTGAGGCAGGAGAACTGCTTGAACCTAGGAGGCAGAGGTTACAGTGAGCTGAGATCACACCATTGTACCCTAGCTTGGGCGACAAGAGGGAAACTCTTTCTCAAAAAAGGAAAAAAAGAGATCCGTCTGATGAATGGGTAAACAAAATATGGTTTGTGTATACAACAGAATATTACGCAATCTTGAAAAGGAAGGAGATTTTGACACATGCTACAACATGGATGAAACTTGAGGACAGGCTGGGCAGCGGTGGCTCAAGCCTGTAATCCCAGCACTTTGGGAGGCCGAGGCGGGTGAATCACGAGGTCAAGAGATCGAGACCATCCTGGTCAACACGGTGAAACCCTGTCTCTACTAAAAATACAAAAAATTAGCTGGGCATGGTGGCGCGTGCCTATAATCCCAGCTACTCAGGAGGCTGAGGCAGGAGAATTGCCTGAACTCAGGAGGCGGAGGTTGCGGTGAGCCGAGATCGTGCCATTGCACTCCAGCCTGGGTAACAAGAGCGAAACTCCGTCTCAAAAAAAAAAAAAAAAAAAAAAAAAAAAAAAGAAACTTGAGGACATTATTCTGTTAAACAAGCCAGTCACAAGAGACAAATACTGTATGATTCCACTTATATGAAGTATTAATGGAGTCAAAATCACAGAAACCAGGCCCCGTGTGGTGGCTCATGACTGTAATCCCAACACTTCCAGGAGACCGAGGCAGGTGGATGACTTGAGCCCAGGAGTTCAAGCCCAGTCTGGGTAACATGGTGAAACCCTGTCTCTACCAAAAGAAAATAAAATGTACAAAAAACCTGAGCGTGATTGTACACACCTGTAGTCTCAGCTACTTGGGGGGCTGAGGTGGGGCAACTGCTTGAGCCTGGGAGGCGGAGGTCACAATGAGCCGAGACTGAGCCACTGTACTCCAGCCTGGGTGACAGAGGCAGACTCTGTCTCAAAAACAAACAAACAAACAAAAATACAGAAACTGAAAACAGAATGGTGGTTGGCCAGGGGCTCAGGGGAGAGAGGAATGGATGGTTCACGTTTAATGGGTACAATTTCAATTTGGGAAGATGAAGAATTCTGGAGATGGACAGTGGTGATGATTACACAGCTTGAATGCACTTACTGCTACTGAACTGTATCTTAACGATGATTAAGACGGGAATTTTTTTTTTTTTTTTTTTTTTTTTTTTTTTTGAGACGTAGTTTCACTCGTTACCCAGGCTGGAGTGCAATGGCGCGATCTTGGCTCACCGCAACCTCCTCCTCCTGGGTTCAGGCAATTCTCCTGCCTCAGCCTCCTGAGTAGCTGGGATTACAGGCACACGCCACCATGCCCAGCTAATTTTTTGTGTTTTTAGTAGAGACGGGGTTTCACCATGTTGACCAGGATGGTCTCGATCTCTTGACCTCGTGATCCACCCGCCTCGGCCTCCCAAAGTGCTGGGATGACAGGCTTGAGCCACCGCACCCAGCTAAGACGGTAATTTTTATGTTGTATATATTTTACCACAATAAAAAAATAATAAGGAAGATCCCTCTGTTTGCTGTGTGGAGCAGGAATGGAGGGGCAGGAGGCAGAAGAGGCCAGAGTGGAAGCATGATAATGTCTAAAGACGCCGTGGGGACTTTGACAAGGTGGTAGCTGTGGACGGAAGGGCTGTGGACAGATTCTGACTCTATTCTGATAACAAAGCCAATAGGACCTGATGATAGATGGCATGTGGAGGATGATAAAAAAGAAATTGGCCGCGTGCAGTGGCTCAGCTTGTACTCACAGCACTTTGGGAGGCTGAGAAGACAGATAAGTTGAGACCGGAGTTCAAGACCAGCCTGGCCAACACCGCAAACCCCATCTCTATCAAAAATGCAAAAATTACCTGGGCATGATGATGCATGCCTGTAAGCCCAGCTACTCGGGAGGCTGAGGCACAAGAACCGCTTGAGACTGGGAGTCGGAGGTTGCAGTGAGTTGTGATTGCACCACTGCACTCCAGCCTAGGCAACAGAGCCAGACTCAGTATGGGGTGGGGGGAAGAATCAAGGACCGCTTTTCTATTTTGGGCCTGAACATTTGGATGAATGATGAACTTGCTTTCTAAGATGAAGTAGTAGGAATGAACAAGTTACTTTGTAAGGTGAGGGAGGGAGTGAAAAATTCCCTACTGCCCACCTTAGGTTTCAGAGGCCTATTAGGAAATCCAAGTGGAGCTAATCAAAGTAGGCCGTCAGAGATAAATGGGAAGATCAGTGTGTTCCAGGCGCAGAAAGGAGACATGATTGGAACTCACTAAACGAGAGGAGAAGACAGGGGCAGACAGATGGGTCAGGGCAGGTTAGGCCGCCGTGGGCAAACTGGTGACAAAGTTCTGAGTCAGCAACTCATCGCTTGTGAATCCTGAGGACAGTTGTTCATTTATGAATATGGTAAGAGGAACAACTTTCACTGTCTTCCTTTTGATGGCAAGGAGTCTTCAGATCGGGGGGGGGGGGTTCTCTTATCCTTATTATACAGAGGAGGAAATATGCTGCGGGCTGGGGTAGGGCTAACCCTGGCCCACTAGGCTTGCATGAGCCATAATCAGTCCTGGAACTATCTAGGTAAAGAGCGTCAGCTGATCTCTTCAGATGTCTTTCTGCTCTAAAATGCAAGTATGCTTCTTCAGTGCTGAGACGGAGAAGAGAAACTGAGGCCTCAGGACGGGGCAGTAGTCTGTCCAACAGGGGCACCTCGAGCACGCGTCGCAGGGAGCGCTCTCCCCCAGTCCACACCAGGGAAACCTGGGGCCAAAGAGAGGGCGGTGTCCGGTCCAGGTCCACACGGGAAGAGCCCAACCGAGGCCCCCGCGCTGGCCCCCTCCTGAGCCACCGCCCACCCCGGAACAGGAGGGCAGCCCGCTTACGTCCTGCTTCCTGGCACCGACATCGATCCTTAAGTTCTGCCCGGGTGGAGAGGGAGGACAAAAAAAAAAAAGCGATCCGTAGTCAAGGAGACGTAACCTGCACTCCTGGCGCAGAACTCTAGCCTGGTCTCCTCCTCCTCGTCGCTTGCCAGCTTCTAGAGCTCCGGAGGTCCCACCTCCCAAATGCTGGGCCGATACCCGGCCTCCCTTGGTCTCCACGACAACGCCGCCATGGCGCCTCCTCCTCCCTTTTTTTCCCCGGCACGTCTGCGCATGCCCAGAGTCCGCGCGCAGACCACTGGGAAGCCTTTTCGTGCATTTTGGGAAATGTAGTCCAAAGCCTGATCCGCTCAGCGAGCCCGCGACAGTAGCGCCATCAAGGCCCAGTAGGCCGCAGACGACGCTTTTGTGCATCTTGGGAAATGTAGTTCCAGTGTTGGCGAAGGCGCCATGCGATGACAAAACGGGGTGAGCCCGCGGTGAGGGCCAATGGGCAGCCGCCTTTGCCGCGGTGCTTCCTGGGAGGTGTAGTTCGGGGCGAGGCCGGGGCCGCAAGAAGCGGGTTGTTGGACTGAACGATAGACTCGGAGTCTGGGGTGACGGGAGGGGGACGGTGGAGTTTGGCGCAAAGCCTGCCGGGGCATGGAGTCCCGAGGAGCTTTGTGCGCATGTGCGGGGAGGTGAGGGGGCTTGGGGGGCCTCGCCTGAGAGAGTAAGGTGAGTGAGGGGGGAAGGAGGGAGGGATTGGAGCGGGGCGGTTGGAAGAGGGAGGGACCAGCGGTACTACGGGAAGAGGGGCGCCGGGGGCCTCTGGAGGGAGAGATGGGAGACTAGGGGGTAGGGGAGGAGAAGGGGGCTGAGTGATGGGGGAGGGACTGGGAGAGAGAACTAGAGGGGGAGGGGCTTGGAGAGGGAGGGGTGGGTAGTGGGAGGGGGTCGTGGATCCTGAGGTCCTGGACGCGGGAGAGAGAAGCTGAGGGAGGGGGCGGGGGAGGGACGGCAGGGGGAGGGGCGGGGCGGGGCGGGGCGGAGGGGAGGGGAGGGGAGGGCCAGATGGGGGAGGGGACGCAAGCAGGGGGTGGGCTGTGAGATGAAAGCTCAGTGGGATGCTGGACCCTGCAAGGAGGTGCGGGGGCGCCGGGACCGGACCCCTTCGGAAAGGTTTGCGGGAAGGGCTTCGGGGACGGGGTGGTCGTAACGTAGGTACGGTGCAGGCGGCTCATTTCGTGCACTGCTTTTGCAAGTGCAACTTCTGCAGAGCTGTGGGATTCCTGACGATGAGAGTCGGTGCCCTGTTTTGCTGCTTCCTCCATGAAGAGCACCTGCCTTTTTAGCTGGCTGCAAGGCATTAGGTTCGGTGACGTGTAAAGTGCTTAGAAACTGTGCTTATTATCATCTGAAGTTGACCCCTGCCACCTCTGCCCCAGTCAGGAGGAAGTCACCCTCCTTTATATCCTATTTTAAGCGCCCATTCCAATTTACACGTAGTGTTTTCAGTCTGTGTGCGTGTTCACAGCAGTGTCTCCCGGCACCTCGCAGAGAACCTTCTGCAAAGTAACCCTAAGTCTCGGCACTCACTAGCCGGGTGTGGGTCTCAGCATTTTTGGTATCACTCCACAGCCAAGGAAATGGAGATACCATGTACTACAAAAGGTGCCTTGTACCTTGTCCAAGGACACAGAGCCGGTAGGAGGCAGAGCTGGAATTTGCTCCAGGGCCTTTGTGCTGTGGGTAAATATTTGTCCAGTGGGCTAGCGGCTCTCAACCAGGAGTGGTTTTGTCCCCCAGGGGACACGTGGCAATGTCCGGAGACTTTTTTTGTTGTCCCAAGTGGGGAAGTGCCCCTGGCATCTCCTGGAAAGAGGCAGAGATGCTGGTGGGCCTTGTATGTGGCACAGGATAGCCCCTCCCCCACCACCACTCAGAGTCATCCAGGCTCAAGTGCCATTCATGTGGAGGTTGGGAAACTCCAGTAGACAAACCGGTCTTCGTGGAGAACTGACTCTTTGGAGGGCCACTTCTAACTTAGGCTCCCAGCAGCCTCTTGAGAGGAAGGAGCTGTTGTTAGTCCTGTGTCACAGGAGGAGAAAGGAAGCACAGAGAGGGCAGGTCACACGTCCACAGTGACACAGCTGCTGAGTGGCAGAGCTGGAAGTTGAAGCCAGCCAGCCAAGCTCCACAGACTCAGTCACGACGTTGACATGATATTAACGCAGGATGCGTGGGTGCTGGTGACATGGTACTAGGTGGATCTGGTGTGGACTCTGGAATCACATCTGGGTCCCATTTGTGGCTCCATCACTCTCTGAGCATCTCCCTGTGGTATAAGGGGACCCATCTCCCCAGAGCTCACGGGTCTGTTGGGAACCCATCTTCCCAGCTCACAGGTCTGTCTGCAAGACATCCAAGGTGCCTGGCTCTAGGCTGGACTGTGCTTTGCAGACACAGACAGCTAGATGGCAGGCTTACAGCTGTTGAATGCATGTAGCACAGGATGCTCATTGGATGCTAGGGTGGATTTACACGCTGCCTTACTTTTCAGCATGTGCTGTCTTGGGGGCAGGCCCCGTGCTGGGTGGCCCCAGGGACTCAGAGAAGAGTTGGACCTGGTCCCTGCCCAAAAGAGCTTACTTTCTGGACAGCCCAGGGCGTAGTGTGACTTGTGTTCACCTCTGAGGTTGCAGACAGAATCAGCTTGACGCCTATGGCCTTGCTCCCTGGCAGAAATTCCTCCCCAGCACCAGAGGGATCTTTTTTTGATAACAGAGCAGGCATCTCTGTGGCTTTTGAGACTCGGATCTGGCCCGGGTGTTCTAATAAGCCTTCCTGCCTGCTCCCAGGTTAATCAGTCTTTAAACCGATGGGTGGGCCAGGTGGAAGGTGATGCTGTGGCCTGGCTCTGAAGCCAGACAGACATGGATGTGCGAGTCCAGACTCTGGCACGTGTGAGCTGAGTGACTTTGGGCGAGACATCTCCACTTTCTCCGTCTGCAACTCGGGGGTAATAATGCCAACCTCCTGGGATTGATCAGCCTATAAAGCCTGAACCCAGGAGGGGGAGGTTGCGGTGAGCCGAGATCACGCCATTGCACTCCAGCCTGGGTAACAAGAGCGAAACTCCGTCTCATTAAAAAAAAAAAAAAAAAAAAAAGGCCGGACCCAGTGGCTCACACCTATAATCCCAGCACTTTGGGAGGCCAAGACCATCCTGGTCAACATGGTGAAACGCTGTATCTACTAAAAATACAAAAAATTAGTTGGGCATGGTGGCGCACGCCTGTAGTCCCAGCTACTCGGAAGGCTGAGGCAGGAGAAGTGCTTGAACCCAGGAGGTGACGGAGGTTGCGGTGAGCCGAGATCGAGCCCCTGCACTCCAGCCTGGGTAACAAGAGCGAAACTCTGTCTCAAAAAAAAAAAAAAAAAAAAAAAAAAAAAAAGTTTTTGAGTGCTAGCCAGAATGCTGGGGTTGGAATTTGTAGTCGCTTGTGCGCATGGAGCTTAAATTGTAGTGAAGAAAGCACACAGATATCGTAACACTAGATCTTGCTAAATACTAAAAGAAAATCAATAAGGGTGCCGTGTTAGCCGCTGGGCAAAGGCACGTGGGTGCAGCATTGGAGGGGGTGATTTGGGGAGGCTCTCCAAGAGGGGAGTGATTGCACTGAGGCCTCAGTCATGAGGAGTCAGGTAAGCAAAGATCAAGGGGGAGGCAGCAGCAGGTGCAGAGGCCATGGGGTGGGCACTAGCCTTCGGTCTGGGAAGATGGAGAGTGAGCCAGACCCGGTGTGGCGGTGGCTCACGCTTATAATCCCCACACTTTGAGAGGCCAAGGTGGGAGGATCACTTGAGTCCAGGAGTTTGAGACCAGCCTGGGCAATATAGTGAGACCCCGTCTCTACAAAAAAATATAAAAATTAGCTGGGTGTGGTGGTGTGCACCTGCGGTCCCAGCTACTCGGGAGGCTGAGCCGGGAGGATGGCTTGAGCCCAGGAGGTCGGAACTGCAGTGAGCCGAGAGGTCACACTGCTGCACTCCAGCTGGGGTGACGAGAGACAGCCAAGGGAGCCACTGTGGCTGCAGCATAGACCATCAGGAAGCGAGGAAGAGACGAGAAAGCAGCACCCGGCTGCATGGCCTCGCGGCCATAGTAAGGAATTTGCATTTTGAGCGTCGTAGGAAGCAGTTGGAGGGTGTCGAGCAGGGACTGACGAGGATTTACAGTGAAAAAGTGTTTGTGATCGCTGTGGAGTGATTCCACTTGAGGTGGCGAGAGCAGGCGGACACAAGAGGGCCTTGAGGCAGCCGCCCCAGCAACAAGCTGATGTTTGTGGTTGGCGACATGGCGGTCAGGAGCCCAGGCGGAAGACTGTCTGAACGCAGACTTCCTCTCAGACCTCGCTGGCTAGAGGCAGATGACGTGGCCACCCACTGCCTCGTGGTCAAGGGGACTTTGCTGTGGTTCCTTATACAGGCCAAGCTGCTGTCATGACGAGACCCCAAGTACCATGCCCAACAGAAGACAGCACTGATTCTTTTCTCCCATGCTAGTCCATAGGAGTTAGCTGGGACGGCCGGCGCCTGAGCCCCATGGGGTCATCAGGGCCCCCGGTGTCCTTGAGGTTCGGGGTCGGCAGTCCTTCTGTGAAGAGCCAGTGAGTAACTATCTCTGGCTCTGTGGGCAGCCTTGCCGGCTGTCCAGACCCTGTCACAGGCACTCAGTAGGTCCAAGGCAGCCGTGGACAGTGCGTGACACCTGCTAATCCCAAACGTGACTGGGCCGCAGTGTGCTCGGCCGGGCTACAGACTCATTGTCTGCATCCATTCAAATTCATATGCTGGCACCCTGGTCCCCCGTGTGATGGAGCCGGGAGGCAGGGCCCTCTTGCATGGGATTAGTGCCCTTCCAAGAAGAGACAGGAGAGCTGGCTGCCCACCTCTCTCACTGCCCTGTGAGGACACAGGAGGAGGCCGTGCGCAGCCCGCAGGAGGCACTCACTCAAACCCAACAGTGCTGGCCCCCAGACCGCAGACTCCCCAAGAAGGGACTGAGACAGGCTGCCGGGTGAGCATTGTGGACTGAGCTGCTTAAACAACACGAGTCGATTTCTCAGTTCTGCGGGCCAGAAGGTCAGAATGCCGGCATGGCTGGTGCCCGGTGAGGGCCTCTGCCGGGCTCTGGGAGGCCTCCTTGCTGTGTGCTCCTCTTAGCAGAGATGGACAGATTCCTGGTGTCCCTTCCTCTTTTAGGGTCACAGTCCTTTTAAAAGGCCCAGCTCTTGTGACCTCAGTTAACCTCCATTACCAGCTAAAAGCTCCATCTCCAAATACCGTCACACAGCGTGAGATCTTCCACACGTGAATTCTGGGGGACAGATTCAGGCCACAGCAGTTAGTTGGGGTGGCTTCTGAGCAGACTGCAAAGTGTCCGCTGCCAGGGTGTGGGGTGCTCTGCCCCACGAGTCCAGCGAGGGTGGTGCTGAGGGTGCCCCGCTGCTGCCAGGCCTGCTGCAAGCTCTTCCCGTGTTTTCCGGTTGAATCCTCTGGACAGGCTGTGGGAGGAGCTGCAGGACTGAGGTACCAAGGCTCGGAGCCCAGCGAGGGGCCAAGCTGGGGCTTGACCCTGTGGGATTCCAGGAAGCAGACACCGTTTCCTCACCACCCGAGTGCGTGCCACCCCTTACGCAGACTTCTTTGCCCCCTGGGACACGCGGGGCAGGTGAGTGCTTTATCTTACAGGAGAAACTGAGGCACACAGGCCAGCCCTATCCTGGACACATGGGAGGCTCAGAAGCAAGGGTTCCACACCCAGCACAGTGGCTCACGCCTGCAATCCCAGCACTTCGGAAGCCTGAGGCTGGTGGATTGCTCGAGGTCGGGAGTTTGAGACCAGTTTGGCTAATGTGTGAAACCCCGTCTCTACTAAAAATACAAAAATTAGCTGGGTGTGGTGGTGAGCGCCTGTAATCCCAGCTACTCGGGAGGCTGAGGCAGGAGGATCACCTGAACCCGGGAGCCGAGGTTGCGGTGAGCTGAGATTGCATCACTGCACTCCAGCCTGGGTGACAGAGAGACTCTGGTTAAAAACAGGAGTGTGGGTCCTGGTATGAGTCTGGGCATCACAGGCGGGGGTCCGGACGGTGAGGATCTCGGTGGGAGGGCGGAGCGGGGGAGGCCTGGTGGACTGGGGTCTTGGCTCTGGGGGCAGGGTTCTAACCGGTTTGTGCCCTTGCAGGCGCTGCCGTCCGGAGGCCCCATGGAGGTGGTGGTGCCCGTGAAGCAGGAGGCCGAGGGCCTGGCTCTGGACTCTCCATGGCACCGCTTCCGCCGCTTCCACCTGGGTGACGCGCCAGGCCCTCGGGAGGCGCTGGGGCTGCTCCGCGCCCTGTGCCGGGACTGGCTGCAGCCCGAGGTGCACACCAAGGAGCAGATGCTGGAGCTGCTGGTGCTGGAACAGTTCCTGAGCGCGCTGCCTGCGGACACGCAGGCCTGGGTGTGCAGCCGCCAGCCGCAGAGCGGGGAGGAGGCGGTGGCCCTGCTGGAGGAGCTCTGGGTGAGCCTGGCAGGGCTGGGACGGGGTGGTGGGGGGGAGGGGGAGGGGAGGGGGAGGGGGAGCCACCAGGAGGCTGAGGGCGGAACACCGCCTAACCCCGAAAACCAGCGAGACACGCCGTGGGGAGGCCGAGGTACAGGGCGGAGGGACAGTCCACATGGGGCACCCTCCATCCCAGCACCAGCCGCAGTCAGGAGGCCCTAAGGCCCAGGCGTACTTGCCAGCTCTCTCAAAGGACGCATAGCCACGTTCACAGTCAGGAGGACGCGCTGGAAGCAGCTGGGCAGGGGGCCGGGAAGACGTCCCAGAGAACAGCCATCCCTCACTCCTCCCGAACGGCAGGGATGTTCCTCAGACTGGGAGTCCTGGGTTCTTACTGGAGCCTGACCTCAGCCTCCAGCCCCCTGAAGGTCAAGGATGTCACCTGGCTCAAACTCCACCCCAAATCCATCTTGCTGTGGGCTGGCCTTAGGCCCCCCGGGCAGGCAGACTGTCCTCACGCCGGAGGCTCCAGGGGCTGAGAGGTGACCTCCCAGGGGCGGAGGGCAAAAGCCAGGCCTCTCACTGGGCAGTTTGGATTCTTGAGCACACGGCAGGCCTGTGCCGAGTCACTGTCTGGGCGAAGGCTGGGTGCACAGCCACACACATTCGCTTACATCGTCCGTGGCTGACTCTTGCCACGTCGACGACAACAGACGGCCTGAGAAGCCGGGAGCGTTGACCGCCTGGCCCCGGAAAGGAGGCCAGGAGCCTGGCTTAGAGGGCCCTGTCCGGGCGGACGTGCAGTGTGAGCTGCAGATGCCATCTGAAGGGTTCTAGCCGCCACCTTCAAAAAGGTGAAAAGAAACTGGTGAATTTAGTTTTAATAACCTACGTCAGCAACTCCACTGTCCTTTCATTACGCGGCCGGCAGCTGCCGTGTGGGGCGTGCGTGATGAGCAGCGGGCAGCCAGAGACATCTGAGAAGAGTGGGTCCAGGCCACGGGAACAGCCAGTGCAAAGGCCCTGGGGCGCCTCTAGCAGCAGAGGGGCCCGGGTGTGAGGGGTGTTCGCAGCAAGGCTAGAGTCCCCAGTGGCAGGAGGGTGAAGGGTCAGAGCAGTCAGGTGTTCCTTCTGAGTGCATACCGAGTGCCTGGTGGGGGCTGAGATGGAGCAGCAGAAAGGTGGCATCTCGGTGAGGCAATGCGAGCAGAGTCCACGGCAGCCAGGCGTCCTTCCTTTCTTCCCGTGAAGGCTGCCAGCGGCCTCGTCCGTCTCCCTGCTCATGCGGCCTGCCCGGCCCCCAAACACTGCCCGCCTTCTGTCGGGAATACAGCTTGCCCCGCCTCCGCTCCCACCTCCCAGCACTTCTGTGCTGACTCTGGCTTCTCTATCCTCACCCTCCTTCCAGGCCATTGTTCCCCGAAGTGGGTTGTAACAAATCACCACAAGGCCAGCGGCTGGCAAATCACCCAAGTCTGTAATTGTAGTGGAGGTCAGAAGTCCAAAATGGGTCTCACGGCCCAAAATCCAGGTGTCTGCAGAGCCATGGTCCTTCTCAAGCTTCTGGAGGCTGTCCACGTTCCGTGGCTCCTGGCCCGTCCTCCGTCCTCAGAGTGCTGCACTCCGACCTCTGCTTCCATTCCCGTCACTTCTCTGACCTTGACCCTATTAGGTCCTGTGGTCATCTCATTTAAGTTTTAAGCTCTGGGATGCATGTGCAGAACGCATAGGTTTGTTACATAGGTATACGTGTGCCAGGGTGGTTTGCCGCACCCATCACCCCTCATCTGGGTTTTAAGCCCCACATGCCTCAGGTGTTTGTCCTGATGCTCTCCCTCCCCTAATCCTCTATACCCCAACAGGCCCTGGTGTATGATGTTCCCCTCCCTGTGTCCATGTGTTATTATTCAGCTTCCACACAGTTATGAGAACACGCAGTGTTTGATTTTTCTGTTCCTGTGTTAGTTTGCTGAGGATGATGGTTTCCAGCTTCACCCTTGTCCCTGCAAAGGACATGAACTCATCCTTTTTCGTGGCTGCGTAGTATTCCATGGTGTACCGTGACCACATCTTAGGATGCCTGCGATGACATTGGGCCATCAGGATAATTCAGGGTAGCTTCCCGATGTCAGTGCTTAATTCCGTCCCGTCCGCAGAGTCCCCGTTGCCCTGAGACAGCATGTGACAGGTTCTGAGGATCAGGACGTGTCATGGGGCCATTATTCTGTCTGCCACAGAGGCGAGGTGAACGTGAGGTGAACCGGGGGTGGAATAGAACTCACGTGGAATCGGTCAGCATGGGTTACGCCCTTTCCAGTTTTCATGAATCTCAGAACAGGACCTGGCACGTGGGTGCTGTATAGGTAGATTTCAGCCACTGTTACTACTTTGACCTCATGCCATCTGTTTCTTTGGCATTAAAATGTTCTTTTAGGAAAGATGGTTAAAGTAGGTTGAGGTTGTTATTGCCTTTAATGTAGATATCTTGCAGAATAAATCCCTTCCATTTGGGGATGCAGTGGGAGTTCTACTGGTTAGTGAATCTAAAAGTTCAGGAATCAGCTGGGTGAAGTGGCTCACGCCTGTAATCCCAGCACTTTGGGAGGCCGAGGCAGGTAGATCACGAGATCAGGAGTTCGAGACCAGCCTGGCCAAGATGGTGAAATCCCATCTCTACTAAAAATATAAAAACTAGCTGGGCGTGGTGGCGGGCACCTGTAATCCCAGCTACTTGGGAGGCTGAGGCAGGAGAATCGCTTGAAGCCGGGAGTTGGATGTTGCAGTCAGCCAAGACTGTGCCACTGCACTCCAGCCTGGGTAACAGAGTGAGACTCTGTCTTAAAAAAAAAAAAAAAAAAAGTTGGGGATCACTGGGCTCCCAGGCCAGCAGGACTCCTGTGTGCTGCTCTCCGCTTACTCCGGGGCAAACCCCTCACTGTCTCTAACACCTCTCCTGTATCTGTTCTTCTCTTTAATGAGAGCAGGTCTCAGGCTCACAGCCTTCTCTTATTGGTGGCCATGTGGACTGGAATAATACTGCTGTGAGTGACTGGGTCTCCCGTGACATCTCTCTCTGCCACATGATACTGGCTTTCCATTTCCAGCAGTGATACAACATGGGCTTAAGTCTGTGTTGTTTTAGTTTTAGGCAAAAGTAGAGTAGTAACAGCCCCAGTGATCAGCACTGCAGCTGGCAGTGGTACACAGACAGCTGACATCTGCGGGCGTGGCTGTGGATTGGGGTTTCCTGGCACTGGTCTGTGGGTCCTTGCCTACCTCAGAGTTTTCACCGAGGCACTGCAGGATGAGGAAGAGGAGGACAGCCGAGGAGAGGCTCGTGTGCTGGTAGAAAGCGGTGAAGAGCGCCTGGAAACCTCTTGGCCTGCAGCGGAGGGAATGGCTGACCCCTCCCAGCCTCCTCTTGTGCTGCTTTGAAACACAGGGTTTGACAGGACGACAGGGCATAGCCGGCTTCCTCACTTCTGTGGAGAGAGAATCTGATCTGCCCAGCGCGGTCCAATGGCCTGGCTGTAGTCACTCAGCGTCTAGCCTCAGGCACACAATAGTCAGAGGGGACAGTCTGAGACGTGGGGGCAGGGTGTCCACCAGCAGGGAAATGAGAAAGGCTGGTGGGTTGGGCCTGGGAGGCCGGGAGAGGCAGGTCAAACCCGTACCTGGTTAGCGTGACACGAAGTGCCCCTGGGGCTCCAGAGGCAGCCAGGAGCACAGGAAAAGTGACAGGTTAGCTGTTCGGTGCAAAAGCAAAACCCAGCAGGAAAGCAGAGGACAGGCAGATGATCAAGCCCCAGACTCAACATTCGAAAAGAAATGCCAGAACAGCACAAACCTTCCGCAAGCAGACGAGGAGGAAAACCGGGCACGGCGCAAACACCGGTGGTGGGAGCTGGCAGAGCTGGGCGACGGAGTAGACTTGAGAGCTGCTGAGAAGACCCCATTCCGTACATGCGATGCGTTCGGAGTCCTGGATGAAACGGACAGGTTCTAGGAAAATAGAAATCAACACATGCTCATGACGAAGTGGCAGGTGCAAGAGTCTGGAAACCAGAGGGGGGAGAAATAATCAAGGTGATTAAAGACCTTCCCTGATAGAAGGCCCTAGGTTCTGGCAGTTTCCATGTAAGTTCTGCCAGACCTCCAAGGAACTGACCATTCTTTTTGTTTGTTTGTTTGTTGTTTTTTTGAGGTGGAGTCTTGCTGTGTCGCCCAGGCCGGAGCGTAGTGGCGTGATCTCAGCTCACTGCAGTCTCTACCTCCCAGACTCAAGCAATTCTCCTGTCCCAGCCTCCTGAGTAGCTGGGATTACAGGCGCTTGCCACCACGCCTGCCTAATTTTTTTGTATTTTTAGTAGAGATGGGGTTTCATCATGTTGGCCAGGCCGGTCTCAAACTCCTGGCCTCAAGTGAGGCTGGAAAGGGTTACCCATTCCCTCCACAGCAGAAGAGGAGGCGGCCTCCCGGAGTGCAGTGGTACAATCTCCGCTCACTGCAATCTCTGTCTACGGTTTCAAGCGATTCTCCTGCCTCAGCCTCCCCATTATCTGGGATTATAGATGCCCCCCACCGCACTCGGCTAATTTTATATATTTTTAATAGAGAGGGGGCTTCACTGTGTTGGCCAGGCTGGTCTTGAACTCCTAACCTCAGGTGATCTCGCCGTGGCCTCCCAAAGTGCTGGGATTACAGGTGTGAGCCACCTCGCCAGGCCCAAACAGTGTGCTTTTAAGGAAGACTGGGAATGCTTCCTGCTGAATCTTATCACCAGCCAGTCAAATTTTAGGTATTACTAATTTTCTTTTTCTTTCTTTTTTTTTTTTTTGAGGACAGAGTCTCACCCTGTGGCCCAGGCAGGAGTGCAATGGTGTGATCTCAGCTTACTTCAACTCCACCTCCCAGGGTTCAAGTGATTCTCCTGCCTCAGCCTCCTGAGTAGCTGGGATTACAGGCGCTCACCACCACATCCAGCTAATTTGGTTATCTTTAGTAGAGACAGGGTTTCGCCGTGTTGGCCAAGCTGGTCTCAAACTCCTGACCTTATGATCCACCTGCCTCAGCCTCCCAAAGTGCTGGGATTGCAGGCATGAGTCACCATAACTGGCCTAGGCATTGCTAATTTTCACACCAACCATTGTTTTATGATCCAGGTACTCCTCTGGCCAAAAAGTTTTGAGATGGAAAAGGTGTGTGACACATGGGCCAGCTGTCATCAGCACGAGAAGAATTCTGATCCTCTTCCCTTGGGGACATGGTTTTATTTTGTTTTATTTTTATTTATTTATTTATTTTTTAAGACGAAGTTTTGCTCTTGTTACCCAGGCTGGAGTGCAATGGCGTGATCTTGGCTCACCGCAACCTCTGCGTCCTGGGTTCAGGCAATTCTCCTGCCTCAGCCTCCTGAGCAGCTGGGATTACAGGCACGTGCCACTATGCCCAGCTAATTTTTTTTCTATTTTTAGCAGAGATGGGGTTTCACCATGTTGACCAGGATGATCTCAATCTCCTGACCTCGTGATCCACCCGCCTCGGCCTCCCAAAGTGCAGGGATTACAGGCTTGAGCCACCGTGCCCAGCCGGGGACATGGTTTTAAATGAATGCTGTACCAGTGCAGAGAAACCACAGCCAGAGTTGGACTGAAACTTTTTAAACTTGGTCTTCCTGGCTGGTGCCATCCCGCTTGGCAGCTTTTCTGCCGTCTTACACCAAGAAAAGTTGTTTCTGAACCTCGTTGACTTTCTTCCACATTGAAAGTAGCTCTCGTATTCTGCATTTTGTTAAGGAGTTTGCACTTTATCCAAAGGGCAGGAACAAGCTGAAGACAGACCTGAGGCAGGTGTATTAGGTACTTCTTGCTGCGTGACAGATAACCCCAAACTCGGGTGTAAAACAGCAAACCTCTGTTAGCTCAGAAAGCCCCTGTGGGCCAGGAGTTTGGGGCCAGCTCCAGGGTCTCCGGTGAGCTCACAGTGGCAGTGTGGGCCGGGCTGTCATTTGAAGGCCGGTGGTTTCCAGACGGCTCCCCCTGGCAGGGGGTGGCAGGAGGCCTTGGTTCCTCGCCTGTGGGCCTCTCTGTGGGTGGCCTCTGTCCTCCAGCATGACTGCGGCTTCCCTGCAGCAGGGATGGGATTCCACAGCTGGCTGACCGTGTCAGGAGCAGGAGGAACAGAGGCCCTCACTCCGGTTTGGCCCTCACTCCGATTTCTGGGTTCCAAATGTGCGCTCTCATTTCAGGGGCCAGCAACCTCCCCCGATGGGTCATCAGCAACGGGGGTGCCTCAGGACGCGACGCAGGGCCCCGGCACGGCCGGTGGCAAAGAGGACAGTGGGATGGTTCCCTTAGGTGAGCCAGTGGTCTCCCTGATTCTCCCTGCCAGCCCGCAGCACTGAGGGGTTGTTCGGTGAACAGTCCTGGCACCAGGGCAAGGGCAGACTTGGACCCCTACCCTTGAGGAGCCCCAGGGTTTGGACCCAAGGCCCAGCGCTAGGGGGTGCTGGTGGGCCCCGGCGTCAGAGGTTGGAAGTGCATGTGGGCCTCAGGGTGGGAGATCCACCCATCCATCCATATATCAGGCATCCATCTATCCATCATCCCCCTTCAGTCTATCCATTCCTGCCGTACAGCTACTCATTCACCCATCCAACCAGCCATCATTCACCTATCCCCGCTCACACCAATCCCACCTTCCCTCTGTCATCCATCCATCATCACCCACCCATTCATCCATCTGCTTATCCACCCATGTATCCACCTATTCAGCATCTGTCCATCCACCATCATCCATCCACCATCCATCCATCCATCCATCCATCCTCCACCCTCACATTCATCATCTACCCACCCGTCATCCATCCATCATCCATCATGCATCCATCCATCATCCACCATCATCCATCCATCCATCCATCAATCCATCCACCATCCATCCATCATGCATCCATCCATCCATCATCCACCCTCACATTCATCATCTTCCCACCCATCATGCATCCATCATCCATCATGCATCCATCATCGATCAATCCATCCATCATCCATCCATCCATCCATCAATCATCTACCCTCATATTCATCATGTACCCATCCATCAATCCATCCATCATCCATTCATCATCCATCCATCATTCATCATCCATCCATCATTCATCATCTACCCTCACATTCATCATCTACTCATCCATCAATCCATCATCCATCATCCATCCATCATCCATTCATCATCCATCCATCATCTACCCTCACATTCATCATCTACTCATCCATCAATCCATCCATCCATCATCCATTCATCATCCATTCATCATGCATCCATCATCCATCATCTACCCTCACATTCATCATCTACTCATCCATCAATCCATCATCCATCCATCATCCATCATACATTCATCCATTCATCATCCATCCATCATCTACCCTCACATTCATCATCTACTCATCCATCAATCCATCCATCCATCATCCATTCATCATGCATCCATCATCCATCATCTACCCTCACATTCATCATCTACTCATCCGTCAATCCATCCATCATCCATCATCCATCCATCATCCACCATACACCCTCACATTCGTCATCTACTCATCCATCAATCCATCCATCATCCATCCATCATTCATTCTCATCTATTCATCATGCATCCATCATCCATCATCTACCCTCCCATTCATCATCTACTCATCCATCAATCCATCCGTCATCCATCCATCATCCACCCTCACATTCATCATCTACTCATCTATCAATCCATCATCCATCCATCATCATTCATCATCCATCCCTCATGCATCCATCATCCATCATCTACCCTCACATTCATCATCTACTCATCCATCCATCATCCATCCATCATCATCCATCCATCAGTCCATCCATCATCCATCATCCACCCTCACATTCATCATCTACTCATCCGTCAATCCATCCATTCATCATCCATCATCTACCCTTACATTCATCATCTACTCATCCATCAATCCATTCATCATCCATTCATCATTCAGTCATCATCCATCATCCATCATCTACCCTCACATTCATCATCTACTCATCCATCAGTCCATCCATTCATCCATTCATCATCCATCATCTACCCTTACATTCATCATCTACTCATCCATCAATCCATTCATCATCCATCATCCATCCATCATCCATTCATCATCCATCATCTATCAATCTATCCATCATCCATCCATCATCTACCCTTACATTCATCATCTACTCATCCATCATCCATCATCCAGCATCCATCAATCCATCCATCATTCATCCATCCATCCATCATCCATCATCCACCCTCACATTCATCATCTACTCATCCATCAATCCATCCATCATCCATTCATCATCCAATCATCATCCATCATCCATCATCTACCCTCACATTCATCATCTACTCATCCATCAATCCATCAATCCATCCATCATCCATCATCCATCCATCATCCATTCATCATCCATCATCCATCAATCCATCCATCATCCATCCATCATCTACCCTTACATTCATCATCTACTCATCCATCAATCCATCCATCATCTACCCTTACATTCATCATCTACTCATCCATCAATCCATCCATCATCCATCATCCATCCATCCATCATCCATCAATCCATCCATCATCCATCATCCATCAATCCATCCATCATTCATCCATCCATCATCCATCAATCCATCCATCATCCATCCATCCATCATCTAACCATCTATCATGCAGCCAGGCATTAACTATTATGTATTTGGCATTGACTGTATGCCAGACTCTACTAGGTACCCGGGACAGAGGCATGAAGGAGAGCCCACAGCCCAGCCCTCTTCCCACCCCGGTAGTTTCTGCCTTTAAGCGTTCCCTGCTTGCCTCCTCCCAGCCAGTGCTGCGCCTGCCCCAGCCTGGTGCAGACCCAGACACTGACTCTGATTTCTTTTACAGCAGACACAGCCCCTGGGGCTCAGGGGCCGGTGGCTGGGGACTCCCAGGCTGTGCGCCCCTACAAGCAGGAGCCCAGCAGCCCCCCCTTGGCACCTGGCCTGCCCGCCTTCCTGGCTGCCCCGGGCACCACGTCCTGCCCAGAGTGCGGCAAGACATCCCTGAAGCCAGCGCACCTGCTGCGCCACCGGCAGAGCCACTCCGGCGAGAAGCCGCACGCCTGCCCCGAGTGCGGCAAGGCCTTCCGGCGCAAGGAGCACCTGCGGCGCCACCGCGACACGCACCCTGGCAGCCCCGGGCCCGCGCTGCGTCCGCTGCCAGCCCGCGAGAAGCCCCACGCGTGCTGCGAGTGCGGCAAGACCTTCTACTGGCGCGAGCACCTGGTGCGCCACCGCAAGACGCACTCGGGAGCGCGGCCCTTCGCCTGCTGGGAGTGCGGCAAGGGCTTCGGACGCCGCGAGCACGTGCTGCGCCACCAGCGCATCCACGGCCGGGCAGCAGCGGCGGCCAGCGCACAGGGGGCGGCGGCCCCGGGCCCCGACGGCGGGGGCCCCTTCCCGCCCTGGCCCCTGGGGTAGCCAGCCGTGCGGGTCGGTCGGTAGGAGCTGCCTCACCACCCCTTGATGCTGCCCCTAGGCCCTCCCTCCTCCTCCCGTCGCCATAGCTTGGCCTCATCCCCTCCTCCTCCTTCCCGCCTGCCAGCTGCCTCCCTTATCTGAACTTCCCAGCGCCTTCCTCTCTCTTCAGCTTCTTTCCCCACATTTCACTTTCCTGCCCAGGTCTCACCAGCGCCTCCCTTTCTGATTCCTGGGCCTCTCTCGCTGTGAGAAGGGGCCTCTTTCTGATGTCTTCTTCTCCTCCTCTCTCTCTCCTGCTCCCAGCCTCCCTCTCCCTCCTCCATTCCTCTCTCCCGGCCTTTCTCTACCTCAAAAGCAGAGGTGAGGGCCTGGGATCCCTGAGGGGCAGGTGAGGAGCAGCTCAGGGGAGCAGTGGCAGGCCAGGCCCCCTTTATGAAGCGAAGGCTGAGGGAAAGGGATCTGGGTCTTCCCTAGGAATCCTTCCCCAGGACAGGTTCGGGGCCGGGAGGCAGCAGGTGATGGCTCTGACAGGCTGGACCCGGGGCCTGGCTGTGGGCTCCTTGGTCTTGCTGCCCCCTGTGACCCAGAGGCATGGGATGGACAGAGATGCCTGCCCCAGTGAAGCTGGGTGGGGACAGCAGGTCACCAGCATCCAGAAGGTCATAAACTCAGTGTGTAGACCCGGAGTCTGAGCTCTGCCCAGTGCAAGTCACCAGCGTCCAGAGAGTAATAAAGTCACTGTGTGTAGACCCGGAGTCTGAGCTGTGTCTGGCGAAGCTGCCTCCCAGGGCTGAGCGTCGGGTGCCCAGGGCCTCTGGGGCCGGCTGTCTTGGCTCCCACTGCAGACTCTCCTGGCATGAGAGTGGCTCTGGGAGTCCGTGCAGCCGTAGGAGGCAGTGAGGAAGTTCGTCCTCAGGAGCGAGCCGTCCCCACCTCCATCCTACGGAGACGGGGATGAGGCTGGGGTTCCCAGAAGGGGCCTGCTGAGCACTACACGGAGTCAGGTTTTCATCTGAGCCCCTCAGCTTCCTGGCTGGGGACTTGCGGGCTGGTCACACCCCCTGAGCATCAGTTCTGCACCTGTGAGTGATGATAATGACACCCACCTCCCTTGCTAAGGCCGCTGTTCCCGGGGTGGCCCGTCCGTTCTGCCACGTGGGGAGTCCTCTCTAGCTGGAGCCATTGGCCGAGGCGGTGCTCTGCATTGGGGGCAGGCTTTGGCCAGTCACGTATTTCCAGGGAGCTGCCTCTTCCCTTGTCCCCAGCTCAGCAACTCCGGTTCCCCCTCTCCAGGGATGACATCGCCCACTTCTGCCGGGTGGACGAAGGGCAGTTGCCGGGCTTTGGAAAGTGGAGGATGAAAGCTCTGGTCTGACCACTCCTGCCGCCCAGTCCTGGGCCTGGCTTCACCCTAGTCCTTTCAGCTCCTGTGTGTCCAGTGCTTGAGCCTGGCAGGCATTCTGTGTCAAGACCTCCAAGGTCACTGCCTTGCAGCCGAGCCCCCACAGTCACCGCCTTGTGGCCGAGCCTTTCAGCGGTCACTGCCTTGCGCTCTGCTTCAGCTTCTGGCTCAGAGTCCAGTACCGGGGCAGGTATGGCCCATGCCGACTGCAAGGGCGTCTGGGAACGCAGTCACCTGGACAGTCCAGTGCACATCACAGGAGCCTGGGTCTGCCTTCCAGACTCAGTGCGGGGAAGGTGCCAGGCTGTCCAGGAAAGGCAAGTGACTGCAGCACCCACCTCTTCAAACAAGACTCGTAATGCCCCCCTGGAAAGGGCCTGTTTTTGAAACTTAAAAATCAGGCTGGGTACGGTGGCTCGTACTGTAATCCCAGCACTTTGGGAGGCCAAAGTGGGCAGATCACCTGAGTTCAGGCGTTCAAGACCAGCCTGGCCAACAAGGTGAAACCCCGACTCTAATAAAAATAACAAAAATTAGCTGGGTGTGGTGGTACACAACTGTAATCCCAACTACGTGGAAGGCTGAGGTGGGAGGATCACTAGAACCCGGAAGGTGGAGGTTGCAGTGAGCTGAGATTGTGCCACTGCACTCCAGCCTGGGTCACAGAGCAAGACTTCATCTCAAAAGAAAAAACATGAAAAGGTAACAAATGCAAAACACTTACAGGGACCCAGCACGTGATCTGAGCATGTTGGTTTCACACCGAGAGGTGAGGTTACAGATGTCGCCATGCTCACTGTGTAGGGGAGAAGGCAGGCTTGGAGAAGCCATGTTGTCTGCTTCAGACCTTCTGGAGGTAACTAGGAGGCAGGAGAGGGTGAGAGGTGAGAGTGTCAGGCCAGGGTCTGAGGATGGGGTTCTGATAACAGCACGCACTGTCTGTGAGGCCAGACCTTTTAAAAATCCAGCTTGTAGGCTGGGCACGGTGGCTCACACCTGTAATACCAGCACTTTGGGAGGCCGAGGCAGGTAGATCACAAGGTCAGGAGTTCAACACCAGCCTGGCTAACATGGTGAAACCCCGTCTCTACTAAAAAATACAAAAATTAGCCGGGCGTGGTAGCACATGCCTGTCATACTTAAGAGGCTGTGGCAGTAGAATCGCTTGAACCCGGGAGGCAGAGGTTGCAGTGAGCCAAGATTGCACCACTGCAGTCCAGCCTGGGTGACACAGCAAGACTCTGTCGCCAAAAAAAAAAAAAAAGAAGAAGGAAATAAACCCAACAGGTTCCCCTACCAACATCCACTGTGATGGAGCAGGTACCGTGAGGGCTCTCGTGTGACTCACAGCCCACCATGTCTGTTGGGCCCACCACATCTGCGATCTTTATCAACCCCAACACCACAGACCAGAGAACATCTGAATTGTGGTTTCCTGCTTCTGTCTTTTTCTTTTCCCTTGAGATGGAGTCTTGCTCTGTTGCCCAGGCTGGAGTGCAGTGGCGCAATCTCAGCCCACTGCAACCTCTGCCTCCCAGGTTCAAGCGATTCTCCTGCCTCAGCCTCCAGAGCAGCTGGGATTACAGGTACCCCACCACCAGCACCACACCCAGCTAATTTTTGTATTTTCAGTAGAGACGGGATTTTGCCATATTGGTCAGGCTGCTCTGGAACTTCTGACCTTGGGCAAGCCACTCACCATGGCCTCCCAAAATGCTGGGATTACAGGCATGAGCCACTACGCCTGGCTGCTCTGTCTTCATTGCTTGAGGGGTGAGATTGTTTTAAGAACCTGCCAGTAGCATGAGGTGATTTTTTTTTTTTTTTTTATTTTCTGTTGCCTCTCCTGGGGGCCCTGGCACTAGGAGCTCTGTCTGCACCCAGCAGGGGTAAGTTAATTCTACTCATTTTCCCATGGATGACCGCGTCTCCCCTCACCTCCTCCTCTCCCCAGCTAAAGGGTTCTGGCCATGGGGTTCCATACACCAGGCTCAAACGTCAGCCGTGCTGCTTGCTGTGGGAGGAGGCCGACGATAGGAGTATCTGGTCAAGCTGCTCCAGTCTTGGTCTCTCTCACAGATGATTGCTAACTGGGTCTCAAATCCATTTCATCTTTTTTTTTCCCCCCCGAGACAGAGTCTTGCTCTGTCACCCAGGCTGGAGTTTGGTGTTGCAATGATACCTCACCGCAGCCTCAAACTCCAGGGCTCCAAATCATCCTTCCACCTCAGCCACCTGAGTAAATGAGATCACAGGTGCATGCCACCCTGCTTAGCTAATTTTTGTGTTTTAAAAAATACAAATAGGGTCTCACCGTGTTGCCCAGGCCGGCCTCAAACTCGGCTCAAGAGATCCTCCTCCTTCAGCTTCCCAAAGTGCTGGGATTAGAGGTGTGAGCCCCCACAACCGCCCCCAAATGCATTCTAATTCCACTTCTCAAATTCGCCTGCAACTGTGCCTGTCTGTCCATCCTCATCCCCCACCACTGTTGCAGGTCAGGCAGCCTCCTCTCTCTCCTCGGACAGCTGGAGTGGCTTCCCAATTTATCCCTCTCCAGCTTCCTCTGCCCATCCCTGTCCACTCTCCACAGCACAGCAGTAGAGTGTGTGAGTGTGTGAGAGAGAGAGTGTGTGTGTGTGTGTCTTTTTTTTTTTTTTCTTTAAGAAGGGGTTTCACCATGTTGGCCAGGCTGGTCTTGAACTCCCAACCTCAGGTGATCCACCCGCCTTGGCCTCCAAAGTGTTTGGATTACAGGCGTGAGCCACCACGCCCGGCCTGTGTGTGTGTCTTTAAAAGCACAAATGTGTTCAAATTACCTTCCAGCTTAAAACTCACTTCATGCCTTCTGACTGCTCCTGTGATAAAGACTAGAAGGCAGGCGGGACACCGTGGCTCATGCCTGTAATCCCAGCGCTTTGGGAGGGTGAGGTGGGTGAATCACTTGAGGTCAGGAGTTCGAGACCAGCCTGGCCAATGTGGTAAAACTCCGCCTCAACTAAACATACCAAAATTAGCTGGGCGTCGTGGCCAGCATCCCAGTTACTCAGGAGGCTTGAGGCAGGAGAATTGCTTGAACCTGGGAGGCGGAGGTTGCTATGACCCAAGATCGTGCCACTGCACTCCAGCCTGGGTGACAGAGTGAGACCCTTTCTCAAAAAAAAAAAAAAAAAAAAAAGACAAGACTAGAAGGTTCCTCATGGGGTGGCCCCTGCCCACCTCTTACCCTCCCCCATCCCGAGGTGGTCTGCATTCCAGGTCCAGCTGTCACTCGGCTCCCTGAGCCTTCCTTCTCCACCCCACTGCAGGACGTTTGCACAGGCCTTTGCCTCCACGTAGTAATAAAATGTTATTCTTTCTTCTTCCTTTTGCCTGGTGAACTCCAACCCCTCCTTCAGGCCTCAGCCTGGAAGTCACCACACATCAGAGGAGCCTTCCCCAGCCTCTGTTACGCGCACACCCAGAGCCACACTCTTCTGATGGCACTGAGCATTTGGTTAGTAGCTGCCACGAGGCTGGGGGCTCCGTAAGGGTAGAATCAGTGCTTCCCAGAGTAGAATCACAATCAAATGGAGCCCCCAGTCACATGGCTGTGGGGAAGATGAATGAGAACTAAGCAAAAAGGAGCTGGAATCGTGAGTCATTCCTTATCCCTCCAGGATCAAGGGGTTTGGCCTCCAGCCTCCCTGGAGCCCAGGCATTGGGTCCATTCTTCCACTCACCGAGCTCTGCCAATGGTGGGGCTGCACAGCTCGGCGTCCACCCACCGCGGCTCTCACGTTTGGTTTTCCGTGAGGCTTTGGGCAAATGACATGCTCTCTCTGACCTTCAGATCCGTCGTCTGCCAAGTGGGGTGTCTAAGTCCACTCAGGCTTCTCTGATAAAGTATCTTAGACCGGGTAATTGATACACAACAGAAATTTACCACTCACCTTTCTGGAGGCTGGAGACCAAGATCAAGGCGCTGGCAGCTTCGGTGTCTGGTGTGAGTTTGCTCTCCGCTTCGTGGACGGTGCCTTGTCCCCGTGTCCTCACATGGTAGAAGGGCCAAGGGAGCTCCTCCGAGCCGCTTTTCTAAGTGCGTGAATCCGGCCAGGCACGGTGGTTCACGCCTGTAATCCCAGCACTTTGTGAGGCCAAGACAGGTAGATCCCTGAGGTCGGGAGTTCGAGACCAGCCTGGCTAACGTGGTGAAACCTCCATCTCTACTAAAAATGCAAAATTAGTTGGGTGTGGTGACAGGTGCCTGTAATCCCAGCTACTCGGGAGGCTGAGGCAGGAGAATCTCTTGAACCAGGAGGCAGGGGTTGTACTGTGCTGAGATCATGCCGTGGTACTCCAGCCTGGAAG